AGGAGCCGGGAGCGCGCGGGCGGCGTCGGGACGCGAACCCGCAGCCCCGGAGGCCTCGGGGAGGGGCGGGGGGCTTGGGGGAGCGCGCTGGGCACGTTTTCCTTTCCAGAAAGCTTTTCTTTCTTTTTTTTCCTCTTTCTTTCCTTCCTTCCTTTCTTTCTCTTTCTTTCTCTTTCTTTTTCTTTCTTCCTTTCTTTCTTTTTCTCCTTCCTTCTGTTCTCTTTTCCTTCTTTCCTTCTTCCTTCCTGTTTCTCTTTCCCTCCCTCCCTCCCTTCCTGCCCCTTCCTCCCCCTTCCTCCTCCTTTTCCTTCTCCTCCTCCTTCCTCTTCCCCTCCTCCCCACCCCCCGTCTTCTTCCCCCTCCCCCGACTCTGCCACTTCCCTGTTTTCCCTTTGCGTCTTCATCTGCAGTTGTTTCTGTCTCCTCACTGAGCTTCCCAAAACGAGTTTCCCTTTCCACGCTTGGAAACGTGCGTGTCCCACAGGGCGGCATCCACATTCTAACTGGACACAGTGCGACGGGAGAGGCCCGTGTCACCTGCCCGCTGTGCCTCTGTGTCTCTGTGTCTCGGGGAGGCATCCATACAACCTCAGACAAGCACCCCTTAGTCGGCCCCGGGCAGCCTCCGCCTGCAGCCGCCCTCCCCGAAATGCCGACGCCGTGTTTCCTAAAACCCGCCCGCTCTGCGGCCTTCGGCCGTGCGGTCCTGCTCAGCCTGGTCCATGTGCAAAGGAAAACGCGTGTGGCACGGAAAGTTCTCGCCCGGGCTCAGACGTGATCAGTGACACACGTGGCAGGTGTTTCTCCACGCCGGAGTCCCAGCAGGAGAAGGGACGGGGACCCGGAGGCCTCTGGAAGCAGGAAAACGTTATCCCGGGTCTGACGACCCCAGACACCTGCTTTGACCCAGAGACCCTTCCCCAGGTCTCTCTGTCTCTCTCCTTCTTTGTCTCTGCTCTGTGTGTCTCTGCGTCTCTGTCTCCACTGTCTCTCTCTTTTTCTCTGTGTCTCTGTGTATCTCTGTCTCTCTGTCTCTGTTTCCCTGTCCTTGACTTTCAGGACACACTTAGTCTTTAGTTGAAGCTTGTGCGAAGAGTGCTTTTGGGGGGCAGGGGCGAGCGGGGCCCACTGAGCTTGTCCCCGAGAAAGAGTCCTGATTTTACAGAAGCACCATCTCCTTTTCCCGGCCACAGACTCTCAGGAAACACGGCGTGTCCGACCCAGAGGGAAACGGCTCCCGCGGCGGACGTGAGTGATTTCGAAGCGATGCGTCCTCGGTGGCAATGACCACGCAGGCTCCCGCCTGGCGTCCCCCTTGTCCTTCCAGGAGGTTGTGACAGACCGTGGCACGGGGACTTCCCTCGGGGCAGGGGGTCCCAGGCTGCCGCAGGCGGGTCTGGGCTGCCGGCTGGCAGCACCGTCTCCTGCTGAGGGACCTCGGGGCTGGACAGGCCGGGGCCCCGCGGGACCCCCGGGAAGGCCTGGTCCTGGGAGGCGCAGGAGGCAGCTGAGCTGGGCGGAGGGAGGGTTTTTGGGAGGCAGCCAGACGGCGGCAGCTGTGAGGGGCTCCCCGCGAGGTCCCCGGGGACCCAGCTTCGCAGCGGGCGGAGACGCGGGGACGCCTTCGGGAGCAGAAAAGTTATCTGGGCTCTGAGGACCCCGGGCGTGGCTGTAACCCAGAGACTCTGCTCGGGATGTCTCTCTCTCTCTGCTGTCTCTGTCTCTTTCCCTGTTTCTCTTCCCCCCTCCCCGTCTCTGCGTGTGTCTGCCTCTCTCTGTCTCTGTGTCTGTGTCTCTGCTCTCTCTGTCTCCCTCCTTCTCTGTGTGTCTGTCTCTGTGTCTCTGCTGTCTCTCTCTACTTCTCTCTGTCTCTGTCTCTGTGTCTCTGCTGTCTCTCTCTTCTCTCTGTCTCTGTGTTTGTGTCTCTGCTGTCTCTCTCTCTCCTTCTCTGTGTCTCTGCTGTCTCTCTTTCTCTCCTTCTCTGTCTCTGTGTCTGTGTCTCTGCTCTCTCTGTCTCTACTTCTGTCTGTCTCTGTCTCTGTGTCTCTGCATCTCTGCTGTCTCTCTCCTCTGTCTCTGTGTCTCTGCTGTCTCTCTCTCCTCTGTCTCTGTGTTTGTGTCTCTGCTGTCTCTCTTTCTCTCCTTCTCTGTCTCTGTCTCTGTGTCTCTGCATCTCTGCTGTCTCTCTCCTCTGTCTCTGTGTCTCTGCTGTCTCTCTCTCCTCTGTCTCTGTGTCTGTGTCTCTGCTGTCTCTGTCTCTGTGTCTGTGTCTCTGCTGTCTCTCTCTGTCCCCTGTGTCTCTGTCTCTGTGTCTCTGCTGTCTCTCTCTCCTTCTCTCTGTCTCTGTGTCTGTGTCCCTGCTGTCTCTCTGTCTCCTTCTCTGTGTGTCTGTCTCTGTGTCTCTGCTGTCTCTCTCTCCTCTGTCTCTGTCTCTGTGTCTCTGCTGTCTCTCTCTCCTTCTCTCTGTCTCTGTCTCTGTGTCCCTGCTGTCTCTGTCTGTCTCCTTCTCTGTGTGTCTGTCTCTGTGTCTCTGCTGTCTCTCTCCTTCTCCGCATGTCTCTGTCTCTGCCTGTCTGTCTCTGTCTCACACGCCCGCCCCCCAACCTGCGTTCCCGCAGGCCTGCACAGCTCGGCCCTCACGCTGGGTCCCCAGGCCCCGCAGGGGAGGACGCGCCCCGGGGTGCTGGGAGGACGAGGAGGAGCTGGGAGACCCCCGCCCGACCCCCTCCCCGTCCGGGCCCCCCGCGCCCCTGCCCACCCTCCCGGCCTCTCCCGTGGCCTCTTCCGGAGGACGGTGACCCTCCAGGCGAGTCTGCATCATACATGGGACTGTTTGTGACTCCCTGTGATACTGTCGTATCTGGCGGCCCCGGCTTTGATGGGAGGTCGTGGCGACAAAGACCCGGGTGTCTTGGGGACTTCGGAGGCTCCTTCGCCTTTGAAGTCTGCTCTGGACCTGACGGTGCCCGTTTGGGGCAGAACGTCCGTCCGGGGAGGCCCGGAGAGGGGACGGCTGCCAGGCCCGGGTTCCCGGGACGAGAAGGGGGAGGGAAGGGACAGGCAGAAATGGGGGAGGCGGATGGATGGGGGGGGAGAGGGAGGGAAAAGGGGACTTGGAGGACGAGAGAGACGGAGGGGACACAGAGGGGAAGGAGGGAGGAAGAGGCACAGGGAGGAGGGGAACGGACAGGAGGGGGGAGAGACGGAGGGAAGGGAGAGGGAGGGAATGGGGTTAGGGAGGGAAGCCTGTGGGATAAGGAGAGGAACAGAGGGAGGGAGAAGGGAAGGAAGGAAGGGAGAGGAGAGGTGAGGGATGGAGGAAGGAAGGAAAGAGAAAGGAAGGAAGGAAGAGAAAGGAAGGAAGGAGGAAGGAAGGAGGAAGGAAGGAAGGAGGAAGGAAGGAAGGAGGAAGGAAGGAAGCAAGGGAGCAATGAAGTGAGGGATGGAGGAAGGAAGGAAAGAGAAAGGAAGGAAGGAGGAAGTAAGGAAGGAAGAGAAAGGAAGGAAGGAGGAAGGAAGGAGGAAGGAAGGGAGGGACGGAGAAAAGGAGGGAAAAGAAGGGACAGGAGGAAAGTAGAGAAGAGCAGGAGGCAAAGGGGGAGGAAGGAAGGAGGGAAGAGGAAGGAGGAGGAGGAGGGAGGGAGAGAAAAAAGATGGGGAGAAAGAAGGAGGGAAGGGTGGAGGAGGGATGAAAGAAGGGAGGACGGCGCAGGAGAAGGAAGAAGAGGAGGGAGGAGGGAGGGAAGAATCAGGACAGCCATTTCTCCACCTCCTCAGCTCCTCCCCCTCCCCTCAGCGCCCCCCTTTTACCGGGTACCCCCACCTGCGCCCTGGGGTCTGGAGAAACGTCTCCCTTTCTTTCCGATGCAGGAAACCAGGGCCCGGCTCCCGAGCGCTAACGCTGGACGCTTCCAAGGGGTGTCTCCCCCGAAACCCGCAAAGGAGCTTCTCCCTTCCCCCCCCCCAAAAAAAGTCACACTTCCCCGGGACCCTCCTCAGCTCCAAACGCGATGGGGGAGGGGGAAGGATGAAGGCATTTTACAGGAAAAAGAAAAAAAAAAAAAGAAAACAGGGAAAAGGAGAAAAAAAAAAAAATCCTCAACTTTATTTGGTTTCCAGGACGTGGAAAAGGAATGTCAGCTCGCGGAGGCGAACCCCGGCTTCCACCACGCGACGCGGGAGGGGCCGAGCAGGGTCACCCGCGAGGAAAACCAAAAACACGAAGTGTGTCTCTGTATATAAGAGTCTCCCCAATAAATATCCGAGACGCCAGGGTGCCAGCGCGGCGCTAAGTGGGGGGCGGCGGCCTCGATCCTGGGTCTGCCGGGGTCTGGCGGGTGCAGAAAGGACCCGGTCTGCACGAACCGGTCCTCCCGGGGACCCCAGCTCCTTTCTGCGGGCGCTGGGGACCCGGGAGACGGCCGCGGGGATCCTCAGCCTCCGCCCAGGCGCTGGCGTCCAGGTTTAGGGACACCGGGCCCCTTCTTCTGACTTTGGGGGTCCTTCAGGCGCTTTCCATCTCACCCGCGCGCCCCCTGCTCCTCCATCCGGCTCCGAGCGGCCTCCGCCGGCGTCTCCATCCGTCCATCCAAACGCACGCAGCCTCCAAGTTGCAAAATCGCGGGTCCCGACGCGCCCCGGGTCCCCTCTCCATCTCCGCCTTGGGAAAGGAGGGGCGGTTCTTGGAACGGTCCAGGCGCCGCGCTCTGCGCTCCTCCCCTGGAAGAGAGGGGGGCGCGGAACGGCTGGGACCCTCCTCTCTCCAGGCCCGCGAAGTCCTGGTCCACTTTGCTTTACGCCGCAGCCACGGACAGAAGAGAAACGCGGGGACCGGTCTTGGGGGGCGCTGGTGGTGCGCGCGCTCTCCCTGCCAAAAAAAAGAAAAAAAAAAAGAAAAA